TATAAATAAAATTGAATTGAATTGAATTGAATTGAATTGAACTGGAAGAACCAACGGTGTTGGTGATTGCCATCCTGGCTGCTGACAGGGCCTAAGGAGGCCCAAGGAGCTTGGAAAGAAAAGTGTCTGGACTTTTTTAAGTTTCTTGAAGACGTTTCATCCAAGAAGCTTCTTCAGTTTTAAGAGCAATTGGTGGAGAGTCCCAGATTTAAGCCCTATGGGAGTGTCCCCAAGGGGGTCACGGACCCCCTATTGATCCTCCACCTAGTCACTTGGCTATGAGAGGTGAAACGTCTTCAAGAAACTTAAAAATGTCCGGACGCTTTTCTTTCCAAGCTCCTTAGACTACGATGACCTGGATGAAGTGATTACTTATGTGCTCTGAATAAACTCTATACAAGACCAAAGGCTTGAGTTTGGTCATTAACCGTTCAGTAAAGAGACATCTTCCTGTAGTACTCAGGAACAGTGTCTGTTCTTAGTATTTAGTTTCAGTTTCAGCTTTTGTTCCTTGGAAAATAAAAACAATCACCTATGAATTCCTATGTTATCATTTTTCCATCATTTTCAGGTCCTCCTATCTTAACCTGTTCACAGGTCACACAAACCAGGTGTAAACAGAAAAACTTAGATCTTTAAGACTCTTCATCCTGTGTCGATTAAGAACATCAAACACAGAGAACTGGAAATGCGATTAACAGGCGTAAGAATGACAGAGGAAAGTGAGGTCTGTGCGTCTGTATGTGTGACGCTGGAAGCTTCGCAGTCTGCCAGTTCTTTCATCACTCATTTACTGCCGTCCACTGCTGCCATGCTCAGCACCGGGTCCCCTGCTGCTAATGAAATATTACCACAGTGGGGGAAACATTAGAGCTTTTTTGAGGCTTTCAAACTCTTAACACTCTCACTGCCTAAAAGTGTAGCGAGATGATTTGCCAAACATTGTAAGTGAAAGCTCACGTCCCCCCATCAAAAACAGCAGCCCAGAATCCCAGGGCTGCAGGCTGTAGGTGCGAGGAGTGAGAAACAGGAAGTGAGTTGCAAAAGGACATGAAATCGCTCTACTGAATCCTTCAGCACCTTCAGCTTGGCCTGAAACGCTTAACTGATTTTGGTATTAAATGTCCAACCGTATATTTTACCACGGGAGGCCCGGTGGGATTGGTCCATTCATTGCTATTGCAGATGTTTATAACAGGAACATTTTGATCCTTCGTGGCACTAATACATCACCTCAATAAAATCAGGTCTATAAAACAAAGTGATAATACCTTGCTGTCATGTGAATTGTAAAATACAACGACAAGCCTGCCGACTTAACGTTCACAAACACACATCTATGCACAAACGTATGAAGGCACGCTGTGTCAGTGAGTTGACAATGACACGGACGCTGTGTGCGTCGGTTTGGGTAAGTGAAGGTCGAATGTGATACATACATGTGCAGTCCTTCTGATTTTTGGCCAGCTCAAAGCCAGGACGGCATTCACATGACACGCCGCCTTTCCCTGGAGCTTCCCTGCAGATGTGGGCGCAGCCGTGGTCCTTGTTCATGCAGTTCATTCCATCTGGGTGGGAACACGGAGAATATTTAACACTTTACATAAAGAAAGCTTTTTTACCTGATTATACAGAAGCTAGAAGACAGTCCTGATCTTCACTGACTCAGCTCATCAGTCTGAAACAAGCTTTTTTAGCTTTAATGAATTCTACTGTTTGAAACTACTTCTATGGGCAGAAATCTGTGCCATCAGAAACTGAATGTGAATAAGTTAAGTTTGAATTGCTTGGATTGAATCTGAATTGTAACTTGAATAAATGCTTTTAAAAACTGAACATGAATTAGTCTAATTTGAAATTCAATTTATTGGTTTGAAAATGATCATCACTAAATTGAAATTTAATTTTATATTTTGAAAATGAATTCATTTGCTTTAAAACTGTATTTTATCCTTTAAAAATTTAGCTCTCGAATAATTTCAGATTCACTTCTCACTGTTCAGTTTCAGTTCCAAAATTCAGTTTTTGGGACTTACATCCGGTTCCGGTTCAAGAGTAATCGAGCGCAGATTAATAGAACTACGTTTTATTAGTCTAATCCATTAGTGCAGCATTACTGGATGACCTGTTTGAAGTGATATAATATGATATACAACTATCACTGAAACAGCAAACTTTGTAAATAAACAAACAACACTTCTCATTCTCTAAACGTTTGGCCACAGCTGTAGATTACACTATCAGTGCTT